CTGCACAGCCATGGATAACAGACAGTCCCACTTTGGCTACCTATTCACTTCACTTATATCATTTGAACTTCAACACTGTAAAGCTTGTCCTCATTCAGGTAGTGATGTTGATGTACTGGGGAAACAGCAATGAAGTAGGTGAAAGAGAGAGGGCAAACGTCCTGAATAACATATTGCTGGTACTGACATTTGCATTTTAGAGACAAGGAAGATACAGTTTCAGTCTCTGACCTGATCAGGTTTTGGTACTTCTGAATCTTCATCAAGTGTTCTTTCCAGGATGCCACACTGCTGGTCAGATTAGGTAAGAATGACCCTGCTGCCTGTCTGTCAACCTCTCCACCAAGTCAGAGTCCTATAGATATCACTTATACAAGGAGTGTGTGTGGAAGGGTTCTTAAAGGACAATTAGAATATATACTAAATACAGCAATGTGTTATAAAAGATGGGGAAAATGAAACTGCCAAAAAGTGTTGAAACCAGATATGGATTGGGTTTTGTTAAAGTTTTAAACCTTTGGAGACCCATCTTTTGAGATCATCCCCCTGTTGCAGAAAAGTGAGTCTCAGAGCTGTCCTTTACAGTTCAGCACTGATGAAAATAAAGACTTCACAGTGTTTTTTTTTCCAAAACAATAGAAAGATATACATTTAAAAATATTAACTCTAAAGACTGTTATGCTACCGATGACGAAATTAAATTGTATTTAAGTCAAATAGACCAATAAACGCTAACCCCAGCTTTGTGAGTTCTCCTATTTCAACAATTCTAGAAGTCTATAATATTCGTAGAGCTAGAATCTGAACCTCAGATTACTTGTTGGAAATGAAACTGGTCTGGGAAGCATTTCCCAGCAATAGGAGAAGTACCTTTCCATAACAGCTAGGCACTCCTTTCTCCAGGTAAATCTACTCCCCCGCCGGAGTCGGAAGGTTCCAGGTGTGGCAGAGACTGGAGGAGGTGTTTGTCTCCATTCAGGGTCCTCTATTGGAATAGGGGCTGATCTCATACTTAACGTAGCCCCTGGAATAAACAAAACATTTTTTTAGCATATATCTTGCAATTAAAAAAAAATCAGTATTACAAGGATACCATGAAAACGAGATAATGAGGTCTGAGTATAAGCTTCTTGCTACTGAGACTTGAAGGCCAATATATTTAATATTGTTATTTTTAAAAACATGATCAAAGAGCTGTAGAGATTGCCAGGTGGTTAAAAGCACTGACTGCTCTTCCAGAAGACACAGGTTCAATTCCCAGCACCTAAATAGCAGCTAACAACCATCTGTAACTCCAGTTCCAGGGTATCCAATGCCCTCTTCTGGCCTCTGCAGGCACTGTACACATATGGTTCACAGATATACATACCAGCAAAACACCCATACACATAAAACAAAAATGACCTAAAGAAAAAACCTGAAACAGTAAAAGCCTCTTCCTTCAAAAGCCTGAAAAAGTCATCCTAACTGCCGGGCGGTGGTGGCGCACGACTTTAATCCCAGCACTCGGGAGGCAGAGACAGGCGGATCTCTGTGAGTTCGAGACCAGCCTGGTCTACAAGAGCTAGTTCCAGGACAGGCTCCAAAACCACAGAGAAACCCTGTCTCGAAAAAAAAAAAAAAAGTCATCCTAACTGCCACCTTTCCATCAGCTCATGTGTCTGTTAGCTCCTTCAATGGATTTCACACAAAGCATGAGACTTATTTCTTCATAAAAAGCACCGGACTTTCCTTGTTGAGCCTTTTTTGAAATTCCTTCTCTAGGCCAGATGTGGTACACATCTGTAATCCTACTACTTGGAAGTCAGAGGCAGGAAGATCAGGAGTTAAGGTTAGTCTCAGGTACGTGAGACCTTGTTTCAAAAAGAAAAGTGTAAAATACAGCAGCAAAGAAAATAAGAAGGTATTTCTCAAGCCGTTAGTGAGCAGGATCCAGGCCCTACAGGTCCTCCACCTACCGATGCCATATTGTTCACCTCTGACAGAACAACTTCGATCTGAGAGGGTTCACTAATTTAGACCAGCTATCTTCAAATAGCCTCAGCGAGCTCTAATTCACTAATTCTCAACTTATCACATGTCTTTTCCCTTGGTTTGTTCTAGACTTGAGGCTAGCTTCAAATCAGAAGGCACACTGTCTCTGGCTTCTATGGACTTAGCTCACAGATGTGCACAGAGCTTGGCATGCTGCCATGGTAAGTCTCTGCCTCCCCTTCCTCTTTTACTCCTTGCACTGCTAAATCCATCTTTCCCAAACACAATTATAGTTATATCACTCTTTTGATTAAAGCCTCCAAGAAGTTCTCTTTGGCTGTAGTTTACCAAACTCCCTTTCTTTCTTTCCTTTGAGACAAGGAGTAAGGCAGCACAGAACGCCTACCTCCATCTCTCAGTGTTGGAAGTATGGGCATGCTTCATCAAGCCCAGCTTATCGGAACTCTTAATACTGTCCTAGAAAGGCAAGTTGGAATTCAAAGGGTTTATATACATAAGAATACGTGTTAATTTCACACAATGAACATGTTTCTTCACAATAGGAACTATTTTCTATCATATCATCAAATAACCCCATGGATAATGTCTCTATTTGAATATACACACACCCTTTCTGAGACAGGGTCATTCTATGTTGTTAGGCTGGCCTTTAGCTCCTGGCCTCACTAGTTTCTCTGGTCTTAGCCTTCCAAGTAGTTGGAACCACAGGTACACAAAAGTGGTCCCAGCTAAACTCCTTTCCTAACGGCAACATCTTTATTTGTATTTTCTTGGATGGAGACCAATGGTTTAAACAATCTAGATTCTCCTTTTAAACATATCGTCTGTCTCTCCCTTCTTAGTAAATCTCTTCTTCAAACTGCAAGCTAAAATATCTCATCTCATTTTTAATTTCTTTATTCCCCTCCACATATTATAAAGCCAGTACTACACAAATTTTATTAATTTTATATTCAAAATAAATCCAGGATAAAAAGTTCTTTGTATATGTATTGAAGGTTTACAAGAGGTCAGCATCATCTCTCACAACCATTACTGCCCAGGACAGGTCTAAATATGGATCTTCACAGTAAGCCATGCCTCCCCGTCATTGTGCTCTTAGATTTGGGTTCATCTATGACATGGAGAAACCCCAGGCTAGATCACAGGGAGCCCTGCACCTGCTCTCTACATCTCCTGTGATGCTGTGCTTAGAGAATTAAGATCAACCACACACAGTAGCAATGTGGAAGTCTGCACAGAATGAAAGATATCCACCTGATCTCCAGGTGCCTTTGCCATTCTACCTGAGCACCAGACAAGGCAGGGAAAAGGCTATCTTGTACATTACACCACAATATACATCATATGGATCCTTCTATACCCAGCTGACAGAAATAAATACCCAGACATTCAGTCCCAACAAAGGCATGTAGGTAGTCATCCCTAAGGGCTCATGAGTCCTTCCCTGCCTCCTGGCAGCTGTGCCTTTGTGGGGTGCTTTCCCATTCTGTACTCATGTGTGAGCAACAGCATGTGGCAGTGAGAGCATGTCTCGTCCAGACTGATACACTAGGGCATCTTTCTTTGCTTTCTTTCTCTGATCACTTCCTCAAGGGAGAAGTTGCTAGGTGAGAATGGATGATGAGGAACTGCTGTCTCTGGCCATGAGGCAGTAAGGAACAGTGGCCTTGCAAATGGACCATCTAGTTCCAGTGACTGCAGCCCTGGCTGACAGCTTGACTAAAAGCTCATGAGGACGCTGCTCCTGGATTCCTGGTCTATAGAAAGAGAAAATAAATCTTTGCTGTGCTAAGCCGAAAAAAAATGTAGCATGGTTTGTATCACAGCAGATAATTAATACAAGTCATCACAACCATCTCCAGCTGTTATTTCACCATATCCTCCAACACTAAGCATATTACATATTAAAATGTACCAATCTGGCAGAAAAAAAATACCTTTAAGATAAAATACCTTACTAATAGTAAAGATGAGCACCTTCTTGTTTATTGCCTATTATCTAACTTTTGTCAGTTTATGATCCTTTTGTTACTGAGCTATAGATTTTATCTGAGTGGAGATACAACATCAATTACCAGTTATATAGCTGTAATAATTCATTTGTCATTTGCTGTATCTTTAATTATGGTATATATTAATTTACATGTAGTTAAGTTTGTAAGCTTTTTCCATACAGTCAATGAGTGTGATTCTTTTGTATGAAGGCCAGCAGGTTTGAATCTCTTCTATTATTACCAGTAAGCTGAAATCTTTTATTACTATAGCCAATGGTATATATTGGAGGAAAGGACTTGGGGACATAGCAGGTAGGTGCTCTGGCTGCTCTTCTAGAGGACCCAGGTTTGATTCCCAGCAGCCACCTGATGACTCACAACTGTCTGTAACTTCAGTTCCAAGAGAACTAATGGGAAGAGGATTCTGCAGTCTGCAATCATGACCCAGACGTAAAGGAAGCAAGATGTGACACATGGCTAGCACAGACAAGAATAATGGGTTAATGTACGATGTAAGAAAGAGTTAATAAGAAGAGCCTGAGATGGCCGGGCAGTGGTGGCGCACACCTTTAATCCCAGCACTTGGGAGGCAGAGGCAGGCGGATCTTTGGGAGTTCGAGGCCAGCCTGGTTCCGGGACAGGCACTAAAGCTACAGAGAAACCCTGTCTTGAAAAACCAGAAAAAAAAAAAAAAAAAAAGAGCCTGAAATACTAGGCCAATTAGTTTATAATCAATGTAGACCTTGGTGTACTTATTTGGGACTAAACAGCTACAGGACTGGGCAGAACAGAAACCTTGGTCAACAGAATGGCACCCATGTGGACAACTGCATCCACATAAAGCCTGAGAAAGCTTGGGAAATAATTCTTGACAGAAAAGAATAGAGTTAAGCATGGCTTATTGATAGCAGCATTTTCTCAGATGGGCTCTGCTTGCTAGAGACAAGCACTCTCATTTAAGAGAGGCTTCCTGACTCAGCTTTAGTTGCCAAACCTTGCATCTCTTATAAGAGGTCCTGCCACGAAACACTTAAATGGTGTTGATGAAAAGCTGACCGCATGCTTTTTGGTGGTGGCAGAGACCTTGAAACGCTATAGAGATCTGGCAATAAACATGGTTCTGTCCAGTACCTCTGCCATGAGGCTGGAATCTCAGAAAGCTAAGGAATAGGCTGGATCCAGCTGTCAAAGCCACGGATTTAATCCTAGCCATATTGCTTAGCAAATTAAAGAATCATGTGGTCAGAAAAAGAGATACAGTATAAAGATACTTTCAGACAAAAAAAACTCTAAACAGTATACAGTGTGTTTAAAAATTATACATAGAAAAGAAAAAGAATAAATTCCTTAAAATAAAAAAGAAAGAAAAAAGGGAGTAGTTGGATGTGGTGGCACACACCTTTAATCCCAGCACTTGGGAGGCAGAGGCAGGCAGATCTCCCTAAGCTCAAAGACAGCCTGTTCTACAGAGTGAGTTCCAGGACAAAGATACACAGAGAAATCCTGTCTCAAAAAGCTAAAAATTAAAAATAAAAGAAATAAAATTTAAAATAAAGCCACGTAAAGATGAAAAACATACAGAGAATCTGGATACTGTATGTTATTATGCTCTCTTTGAATTGTTTGAATGCTGAGGAAGGAGCATAAGCTGCTAAAAGATATTTGTTTATAAATGCTGCTGAATTAATCCAAGATAGATATTTTGAAAATACCTTGACTTCAAAATTGAAGTCAAAAGGTATGCTACTTTGGAGAAGAGGTTTGGCTTTTTTCCACAGGAAATGAGAGGCTGTGGTTTCATTCTGAGCTAAGAAAAATCAGGTTTGATCAAGGAAGATCCCCCTGAGAAATCTCTGATAGAAGCAGATGGCCCAGATGTCTGAGTTCTACATCCAGAACAGTTCAAAGACTGCTGACTGAGATGATCAAGCCTCATAGGATACACCAGTCAGGACTTGATCATAATTCTAAATTTTCTTTAGGTTCCCATAAGATTATCAGTTCCCCCAATCAGCAGGAAGTAGCCTAGAAA